ATCGTGATGGCGATCACGGTGATGGTGTCGCTGGAGCTGTTCACAAAGCTGCTCTACTTCACTCCTAACGCCATTCTCGCTTCCATTATTCTCTCCGCTCTTCCAGGCCTCGTCGATCTCCACGAAGCTTACAATATTTGGAAGATCGATAAGCTCGATTTCTTCGCCCTCCTTGGAGCTTTCGTCGGAGTCCTGTTTTTTTCCGTCGAAATCGGCCTCCTGCTTTCGGTAACAATTTTTGTTTTGATCTGTTCATTTCAAATTATACTGCTGAGTGTGTGTGTTGGTTTATTGTATTGTGTTGAATTGATGAATGCAGATTGTGATATCATTTGCGAAGATAATAGTGATCTCGATCAAACCTGGGGCAGAGATTTTGGGGAAAGTTCCTGGAACTGATAACTTCTGTGATGTTCATCAATATCCAATGGCTGTGAATACTCCTGGAGTTTTCATTGTTCGTGTTAAATCTGGCTTGCTTTGCTTTGCCAATGCCAACTTCGTCAAACATAGGTAAACCAAACCACTTGTTCTTTTTTTTTGTTCTTCGCTTCTTCCACTCAAAAATTAGCATTCAAATTTTGGAGACAGAAAAAAGGAAAGAAGGAAAGAAACAAAGAAAAAAAAAAGGGGGTCCAAATTGATAAAGATTTTGTTTTTTGCTTTGAAGAAGTAGTTCAGTTAGAGAAATAGTTACTAAAATTTGCCTAAATGTATGTTTTAGTCTAGAACGTTGAGTGTTTTTTTCAACTTTGTGTCCCTATCATTTAAATAGTCTTTTAACTTAGTCCTTTACGTTTTAATACTTTTTTTTAATTTATCATAACATTTTATAAAGGTTAAAATTGAAATAATTTAAGCGTTTTTATTTTACACTTTTTTATGAGTACTTATATCTCTATGCTTAAGCAACTAGCATGTTAAGTATTTTAAAGTATAACTTTTTGGATAATCAGCTCTCACTAGATTTTGAAGGCACGTTTGATAAATATTTCGTTTTTTATTTTTTTATATTTAAAAATTAAACTTAGAAACATTATTTTCACGTATGTCTTCTTTTGTTTTGTTTAAGTAATTTTTATAAACATGTTCAAAATCTAGGTCAAATTTTGAAAACTAAAAAATAGTTTTCAAAAACTTGATTTTGTTTTTTAAATCTGGCTAAGAATTTATGTTTACAAGAGAAGTTAAAATTTTACTAATGAAATTGTAAAAAATAAGTATAATTTTAAAAAATAGATAATTAAAAAAATGTTATTAGACGAGATCGAAGCAATTCAATTTTTTTTATTTATTACAAATACGGCACATTTTTAGAAATTTTTAAATATCCTGTATTTTTAGGTTCATTTTGGTTTTGGTATTTGTACTCTTAAAAAGACAAATAGGGGTGGGAGATTCGAATTCATAATTTTTTGGTCAGAGGCATCTGCCAATTAACACTAAACTAATATTGGCATTAGAAAATTATACTAATTATACTAAACACACCCTAGATTTGTAACTCTCCCCCAATAGGCTTTTTGAAAATGTATATTTAAATTTAAAAAAAAATACATTTTTCATAAGTCATCTCAAACCCACTTTTATTGAATAAATTTAGAGAAGAATCAGTCACCTAAATAAAAACATTTCTAATTCCTCCCTTGAATTTTTAAGAAGTTTAGAAATTTTGATTTTTCTTCATTTAGATGGCTTAATTCTATCCTTTATTTTTTTGTTAACTCAGTATCAATGTTGTAAGTTTATTATCAACCAATTTCAATTTTCACCTTTTGAGGAGGTATAGCTGAAAAATGTTGAGATTCAGGTGACTAATTAAAACTTTTTAATCAAAAGGAACTAAATTAAAAAAAAAAAAAAAACATCCATAAGACACTAAAACATATATTTAGCCTTAGTAAACTAAGTAGAACATCAGTTTTTTTTTTTCTATTTTTTTGTATAAGATTTCAGAGAAGCAGAAACAGAGAATTTATCAACCATATGTGTTTTATCTGTGATGTAGAATTCAGAGGTACATCAGCAGCCAAGAAGATGCCTCAACAAAGAGACCCATTCACTTCATAGTCATTGATCTCTCCAGTCAGTTCTTCTTCCTTCTCTTCCATCATATCATCTTTAGTCTTTTTCTTTTTCTTTTTCTTTTTTTTTCTTTTAATGCATTGTGAAACATAGAAGATATTCCCATTGATATTTATTATATTCATTTCTTTGTTTGTAGATTTGATGAACATTGACACTTCAGGAATTGCTTCTCTAGAAGAACTGCACAAAAGTTTGGCCGCCACTGGAATAGAGGTGGGTTATCTATTTTTTTTAAAAACGTTTCTTCAATCTTAGTAAAAATTTAACAACTTGAACAAAGAAACTTTTTAAAGAACTTGGTTTTGGTTTTCTATTCTTAAAAAATTGAACTTGAACTTGAACTTGGATAAGTTTCTTGGTTTTGGTTTTCTATTCTTAAAAAATTGAACTCGAACTTGGATAAGTTTCTTGGTTTTGGTTTTCTATTCTTAAAAAATTGAACTTGAACTTGGATACTTATAACACCATTTCTCTAACACAGTTGGCCATTGCAAATCCAAAATGGCAAGTGATTCACAAGCTAAAGGTAGCAAATTTTGTTGCCAAGCTCAAGGGGAGGGTGTTCTTGAGTGTTGGGGAAGCTGTGGATTCATGCCTTTCAGCTAAAATGGGAGACATCTAAAAGCACCAAACCCAAGTAACTGAAAAATAGAATAAAAAAACACCCTTTTCTCAATGCCAATGTGTAATAAATCATAAAATTACCAATGCTACTACTCATGTTTTGTTGTCACTCTTTGTTTCTTTTGATGTGTGTGGATTATAATTAATCCTATGTTGATGCTCCATGGAGCCAAAGAAACAAATGGGTTATCACCAATTGAACCCAATTGTTTTCCCTTATGGTATTGTATGTATGATGTGTGTGTGTAAAATATGTATAATAATAATTACTGGTTTTTAACTTGTGTGTTTCTTTGTTATATAGTGTTAATTTTGTCTTTTAAATTTGTCCACTTATTCAATGATCAGCACTAAAGATGAAGTAGTATGAGAAGAAATTAGAATAGACACCAAAATTTTAATTTGAAAACCATAATGTTGGAAAAACTACCAGATATCTTACTAGGTTTTGTTCAAGGAGAGTTAAATAGGGGAAATAAATGAAGCAACTAAAACAAGCATCTTAAAGTTGTCGAGACTAAAATTCAGTAAATTTGAAAGTTTAAAGACTTAGACAATTAATCCGAACTTTGAACATATTACATGTTTGATTAACGTTCTTAATGTTCTTAATATTAGTAAACATAAAAGACAAATCTAGACGTGTCAACCTGAGTTTAGCTTGGTAGTAATTGACACCTATTGACTATTTCTGACCAAGAGGTCGTGAGTTGGAATCTCTACCCCACTATTGTACTAAAAGAATCCCCAAAAAGTGAAACAAACAGTTCCTTTTTTTCAGTACAATGGCCCCTGAATTGTTTTATTTATTTCAGAACAAACACTAGAATACACATTTCTGCAATAATATTATCAATCTCAATAGAAACAAACAATTGAGAAGGGCTTGCATTATCCATACATTAGCAGTTTTTAAACAGGAACAACAGGCCTAACTGCCTCAATTGCATTCTTAATTCTTTCCACAGCAGCCTGCAGTGTACTGAGGGATTCTGCGTACGAAATGCGGATGCAACTGTCGTCACCGAACGCATCCCCCGGAACTAGAGCAACCTGAAAAATCAACAGCCATATATTCGCCTTTTATGAAGATATGAAGTGACTTTGAAATTCTACTCAATATTTGAGTTTAGAAACAAAAATGATAGAAGGAAAAAGGCAGTTATACAAGTTTCATCAAGAATCATAATGAAGCTTTGGATTGATTCAATCTCCAAATACGAAAATAATAATGAAAAATGTGACGTTTTCGGATGAACTTTACCTGGCCCTTCTCAAGCAGATATCTGCAAAGTGACTCTGAATTGTTAATTACACCAAACCCTTCAACTTCAGATCCATAGTAAGAGCTGAAATCCAGGAAGAGGTAGAAAGCTCCCTACAAGAAGTTATAGAATCTTCAGATATTACACTAACAGAACAATTATGAGATATAAGACCAAGAAGGGATTTCAGCAAGGAGCGCTCGAAAACAAGCAAAAGTTTGAAGTTGGCACCTGGGGTTCTGAAATCTTAACACCGGGAATTTCACCAAAGCTTTTGACCAAAGAATCCCGACGTTCCCGGAATGCTTTCACCATTGTGGCAACTGCTTCCCCACCAGCATAGCCCATTCCTAGAGCTGCAACACCAGCTTTTTGGGATATGCTACTGGCTCCCGAAGTGGACTATCATAACAAATATACAGAATAAGCTAGAGACAGAAAATGTTGACAATTATCAATTGGAAACTTAATCAAAGAAGTTAAGTCCCTCTACGAATTGCATGCAGAAAGAGAAAGTGAAACTAATAGCCCAAGTAAAAGGATCTACCTCAATTTATTCTAACATACTGAAGATCAAAGGTAGATTCATTTTACATCACCTATTACACGTGGATTAGACAAAAAAAAACAAAACAAAATTCCTAGATTTCCCCTTTTCTATGGAAAAAAAAACAAAGAATAAAAGCTATAAAAGACTACTCGGACTAGAGATAGACAATTTAGTTCTCTGAAGAGAAATGCCTATTATCTGTATGTAAGCAACAAAGTCAGAAGAAAAGCAAGCAAAACGGCTCTGCATAATGCAGTGACAGATGAGTTAAGGACAACTGAAAATTGTATTACCAAGCTCAAATTTTTAAGAGATAGGATGAGAAATACTAAAGTTATATAACATACCTGACTCTGGATTTTTCCACATGCAGAGACAAAGTGTTTAGGACCGGCAATATATCCAAGTCGCCAACCAGTCATTGCAAAAGCCTAACATGTTACAGCTTCAAATGTTAAGCAATCGTATTGCAACAATACTTAGATCAAATATGGACTTCAATACCTGGTAGCAGCATAAATGAGAAAATAAAGTTTCAATTACCTTAGAAAACCCATTAACAGTCAAAGTCCTTTCCCACATGCCAGGCAAAGATGCGAAGCTTGTGTGAGTTGCTGGAGCATAAATTATGTGTTCGTATATTTCGTCAGAAAGCACCTGCAAAGAAAAGATAATTTAAGATCAAACAATCCAATTAATAACTTTCAGCAAAGTTAAGAAACCTCACCAGAAGTCTAGGATGTTTTGCAACAATTTCAGCAATCTTTTCAAGTAATTCCTTCGGGTAAACAGATCCTGTTGGGTTGGATGGAGAACAAAGAATCAGCAGCCTCGACTTCTCTGTGATCTTTGCTTCAAGAAGCTTTGGATCCAGGAGAAAATTGTCTTCAATACGCGTAGGAAGAATCACCGGAGTTGCATCAGCCAGCCTAGCCATTTCTGGGTAGCTTACCCAAAATGGAGCGGGAATTACAACCTGAGGGGAAAAAGATTTTGTAAGGCTATCACCGACACCACGACAGTAAAAGCACTAAATGAACGATCAGATCCCTTTACTCTATATTTGTGGTAATACATGGCATATTGCATCAAGGTTTCCCCTAGAATAATGAACTATTGTTCCTCTAAATCATATGTCTATGTAAACAGCTGCTGGAGCAGTATGTATGAATCTATATCCATCACAAGATCAGGAAATTTTTTTACCTCATGTCCTGGAGAACAAACAGCAATAACTGCTTGAAGAATACTCTGTTTGGCTCCATTGCTCACCAATATTTGGTCTGGTGTATACGAAATCCCATTCTCCTCTGCAAACAGAAAGAATTCTCCGAGCTTGCATAAAAACATGAAGCTAATATACAACTCAAACACATCTCTGAAAACTTCCTCCCTAAACACAACTAACCTTTTAGCTTATGACAAATTGCTTGGCGGAGTTCCAATGTTCCTGCATTGGGCGTGTAGCGAGTGTAGCCATCCCGAATCGCATTCATTCCTGCCTAACTTTCCATCAAGGCAAAGGATCAACAATCAGATGTAGAAATGTGAAAGTATACTTGCATCTAAAGAAGCTTGGGCATTGAAAAATGGACTTTTGGGTTAAGCTAATACCTCTACAATTGGAGCAGGGGTGTCAAAATCAGGTTCACCAGCAGCCAGCCGAATCACAGGCACACCAGCTTGCACTAGAGCCGTGGCCTGATCGGTTATAGCCACCGTCTTGGAAGGCTTTACAGAATTCACTCTTGGGCTCAAAGTTAGGTCCACAATCACTTGGTCAGAAACACTCCCAGCCATTACTGGCTGCACTCTCTTCGTATACTGCTGAGACCTATCAAAATGGAAAGCTTAAGGCCATACCCAGCAATTATAATCCAAGACAGATGACAGAGCGACCCAAGATCACGCAGCAAAAGAATCCCACTCACAAAATACACTTCATTCCACCACCCATTACAATCGTGTTCAAACAAGCAAACAGAACTCATCAATGGAAGCTCAAATTAAAAAGCAAAAGAAGATAACGAGTGATGAAGGAGCAGGCATACTTGAGGAAGGGGGCACGAAGCTGGGAGGGAAAAGAAACGGATCCAAAAGCAGGTTCTAGCGCAGAATCGGCACCCGGAAATTGGTATCTAAATCCGAGATGAGATGCATTAGATAAATTCTGCAACGAATTTGCCATTGGAAGAGGAAGGTATCCTGATTCTGTACCGGAACAAGAAGAAAACAGGACCCCAAGTAGAGAATAAAGAGAAGGCAACAGAGAGACAGAGATTGAAAGGTACCGAGAAGCCGCGATGAGAGAAGGAGGAGGAGGAATTGGTATAAAGGGGCGAGGAAAGAACGGGGAAGTTGGTGGTAACGACGGCTGTCGGAGAATTTGAAAATCCAAAAAAGCTGAGTTAGGTAACGATTGAGAGTCGCTGTCTGTGAGAGTTGAATTCAGCCATCAAAATGGATCCAACCTCTTCGGTTAGTGGAGATTGGACTCACCTACCATGCCCAACGGCCTGGTTCTCTCGCTTTTTGACTGAACCGAGACCAAACCGAATCGAACCAAATAAGGAGAAAATCGATTAACGGAAGTCGTTGGTTTAAAAGCGGCGAGAGATGAAGGAAAGTCGACGATGAAAGATTTCCCCATATGGAACATTGACGGTGAGAGTGGGAGGAGTTGAAAAAGTCATATCAGCGATGCGACGATGCGGGGAGGAAGCGTCCATTATGCCGTGAACTATTTTTTATCATAGACTGAATCAAAATTTTTGGTTTTGGAAATATAGACCGATGGGTCCAAATTTTTTCATACATCTGAACAAACCGATCTGTTGAACCGGTTCGGTTTGGTCTTTGGTCAATCAGCTTTTTGTTCCTTTCTTTAAATCACCTCTATAAAATAGTTTCAATCAAATAAGTTGATTACAATTGGAAAAATATGCGAACTAAATGTATTGGAAGTAAACTCCAACTCTAGGGTTTAATTGCAACTCTTTTGTAAGTTTGGGGTCAATTAGGTGTAATTGCTCAAATTAAAAAGTTTTGAAAAAAAATTAGGGTAAAATATACTTTTTGTATCTGAGATTTGGATTTAGTTTTTGTTTGGTATATAAGTTTAAAAAACCAAATTTAAATTCAATTTCAATAAGGTCGGTAATTTTAAAAGTGACATGTTTTATTCTTAAAGTTTGAATTTAGTTTTTAATTAGTCCCTCAATTAAGTTGACATTTAGTTAACCTAAAGACATTCTTCATTATCTTTTACCTAATTAGCAAAGTGTAATCAACCTAGATTAACTATCACATCATCATTTCGGTAGGTCAACAAATGGTCAATTCAACTTAGGGATTAATTAGAAATCAAACTCAAACTTCATGGATTAATTAGAAACCAAACTCAGTTAAAAAAAAAAAAACCCTTTAACAAGAAAGTTTAACTGCAACGATGTCGTAACTTTGAGGTATAATGCTCAAATTGAAAGTTCGATGGTAAAATTGTCACAATCTCTATGTAGTTTTTTATTCCTTCAATATCTATCTTCTTTTTATACTTTGTTTGATACCTCAGATTTCGAGGGATTTCAAATTATTATTTGATACCTCTTGATTTTGATTTTGAATTTCAAATTCAAATTCTATTGTATTACGTTAAAAAAATCATATTAAAAATGGTCATCTAAATCATTAAAATTTTTATTTTCTTTTCCTTTCCAACGAACATCGAAATTTGATCCTTTTCATTCCAAACAAGGTAAGGAATTGAAAACCATTTTTCGAATTTTAAATCACAGAATTTAAAATCATTTCTTAAACTTTCTTGACGCCAAACGGAAGGTTAATTACTTTTGTAATTTAGACTATATTTTAAACGTAGTTAGATGAAGGGTAGGTTTAAGTCCAACAAGAATAATATTAAAAAATGAACAATTTAATTATCATTTCATCGTTGCTTTGTTGAACAAAAGTCGAGAACACTTGTTCAAATTAACTGAGGCAAAAGTATGTTTAAATATATTATTTGGTACTTGATAAAGGTTTAAATTGGTGGGTAAAGAGTGCTGCTTTTCCATACGGCATAATTTGTTTATATATTTATAGCTCATCTAACCAGAGTGCAGAATTGACTGGTTGAAAACTTATAGTAATTTCTCCATTTTTAATGTGTCTATTCAACCATGAGATTGTGAGTTTGATCCTCCATCCCCACATGTTGTACTAAAAGAAATAAAATGTGTCTAAGTTCTTATGACAGTGAGGTCAGTGTGGAAGTTTGACTTTACCTAATAATAAGTTTAGTTAGATTTGTGTAATGGTGAAAGATAATTCTTTTTTTCTTTTTTTAGTACCATCGAACTCACAACATCTTGATTAGAGAATTAAATATATCGTTGAGCTTCTCTTTGACAATAATTTTCTTTTTCTGTTTCATAATATTTAGTTATATGGCACGAATGACAATAGAATTTTCTTGACATATATTTATAAATTCTATGGCATCTAATAACAATTTTATGTTGTGTGTACCTTTGATTTCCTTGTTTCCTCGTGGCACTCACACAAGCATCCACTCTGATTAGGGGACTATAAAAAGTTTTTTGTTTGGCCCTTGTGGTCTTCCTTAACAAGTTCTTGAGCCTCATTTACACCACCTTCCTCATAAAAGATACCATGTTGACCCAAGCCGAATTCTATGGTCGAGAATATTATTGTAATAAGAAATTAGTTATGAGAGACTTTTTTTAAGTATTACAAAAGAAAAAACCAACTGATAAAACTAGGTGGATTAATGAAATATTAGAGCGTTTCATCGCTATCACCCACTTTATTTCAGCGTTTCTCTCTAATATTTCACCATCCACTTGATTTCAACATTTCTCTCTAATATTTTGTTAATCTTACATTTAAAGAAATTAATCTTGTATTTAAAGAAATCTATACAAATGTGAGAATTATGCATTAACCATTCTTAAATCAAACTCTAATAGATTATGTAAATTGATTCAGTTATGAAAGTTTAGAATTAGTTTAAAGTTTTAATTGATCAACCCCAAAATTTAGGGATATAGAAAAATTTTTTTTCAAAAGTTCTATTATTTTCATTTCACACACTTAAATCATTTTATCTAATTAAAATAAGTTTTATCATAAAAAAAAAAACATATACATAACCTTCTAAATATGGAGAGAAAAATTATTCAAACCTTCAACCTATAGCTATTATATTAATGTATTAATTAATTGGACATAGCCAAGTTAAAGTTGACTTCATAAAAAATGAATCTATATAGACAACTAATATTACTAAACTAAGAAAACAAATAAATCCAATAATTTTCGTTATTTCAAACAAGTTTGAAGAAATAATTCACGAGCATAATAGACAAAGACAAAAAATTAGAAATGTTTATAGATATAAATAAAATATATATATATATATATTATATACATATACACACAAAATGAAATTGTAAAAGGATTTAATCAATCCACGTTGAGCTGTGGTATCTTAGTGGCATCATAATTTGTGCTTCCATCGCTTGGTGGCATTTGGTTCCCATTGGATATTGTATCCACTTGTTGTTGTGACATCATGCAACCCCCTCCAATCTCATGCTACAACACATTAAAAATTTTATTATTCTAATCATTGGCTGTTCTAGTAAAATATAAATTGAGAAGATGAAACAACCTTTATACTATCATCAAATGAAGTTTGGGGAATGAAGGATGAGAGAAGCTGAGATGTGGTGTAGCTGTGATGCCAAGAAGAGTAGGCATCCTCATTGGGGTTGCCCATGTCGCACCCACCCATGTTGCACATGTTTGATGCTTGTGATACTTGGTCGTAAACTGTCGTTGGATATTGACCACTGTGACGCAACCATATTTACAATGATCATTTCAGTTTCTCTTCTACGGGTGAGGGATTAAATTGAAAAGCTATTTAATCCAACGTATATTTGACAATTATGAAATAGAATTTCCTAAATGATACAATTAATTATATTTTCTGAGATAAATAATTAAATATACCTTTGAGGAATTGAAGATGACTCGGATGGACCACAAAGTTGGGTCGAGCTCTGACCATTTTCGGGCAACCAATTAGCGACGTCGTTTTCAAAGGATGTTGGTATTCCCTCTTGTGAATCCAAGTACATCTATTTACCAAATAAATAGATATTTTACCAAAAACAAATGTTACCAATATAAATAAGATGGAATTTTAATCACCTGGATATGATTTGGAGGATCATAAGGCGATAAATGGCTACTTAATAGATCTTTCTGTAAAATGAAATATTCAACTCATTAATGAAAAAAATGGATTAAAAATTCAATATATTTGATCATATCTTTTTTTTTTTTGAACCAATATATTTGATCATATCTAAACAATTAATTCAATTACGTAAAAATAATAAAAATATTATTTTGTACCTTCCTTTGAGTGATACGTGCTAAGGTGTCTAAAAGATTCTTCTCGCAAGATTCTATTTCACCATTTGATGCGAATGAAAGAGGGTCGGGCTCGAACAACCTTTAATATAAATAAATCAAATATACATTTATAAGTTTCCTTTTAAATATTAAATTTAATATTAAAATATTATTTTGGTCTCTATATCTTTTACTTTTATTCATTTTGGTCCAAATACTTTCAAAATTTTCATTTTAGTCATTGTACTTTTAAAATTTTAACCATTTTGGTCACTTTACTAAATTTTAACACAAATTCTACTCTTAACATAAACCTTTTAATATAAATAAAGTCATTGTTACATTTCATTAAATATATTTAGTGTAGTGTCATATTAAAATTGTGATAGAAAAAAAATGAGATTAAAAATAAAATTGAGAGACCAAAATGATATTTTTAAAAGGTACATGGATCAAAACGAGTATTTTAAAAGTGTATGGTCTAAAATGAACCAAAGTGGAAAATACAAAAACTAAAATAAACATTTTAAAAGTATAGAGACAAAAATAAATCAAAACTGAAAGTACAGAGATCAAAATAATATTTTAATCTAAATTTAATTATTTAAAGCTCCTCTCTCACGGATATTTTAACCCTAATTTTTGTGTTTTGAAAATCTTGGTTAAAGTGTAAAAGTTAATATAAAATATCTTCCAAAAATTCGCTTTTTCACTGAATTGGATCGAGATTTGAAAACTAAAATAAATTAAAGCTTTTTTCTTTTTCATAAGCAATCTTTTAAAAAAAAGAAAAAGAAAAAGATAGAAAACTATAAATAAGAAAATACCTTAGTTGCTGCTCCGCAAGCTGAAGCTCATGTCTCATGGTACCAATCTCTTGTTGAAGCTCCTGAATGCATTATAGCAATATAAGTTTCATTAATAAATTCACATATGATATATGAAAGTATACCTCAAAATTATTATTTTTACATCCAATTTTAAAACTTTTTATATTGCTATATAATTTCATCTCTAAATTTCAGTTGCATTCTTCATCATTTAAGAATTTCAATTTCGTCATTTAAAACGTATCCATAAAATAAAAAACAAATCCTCTTTACGTAATACATGATTACTTATCACTCAATAATATTAGGGTAGAAAATAAAAGATATTATCATATTATCAAATGACCACTTCGTAAAATCATTGTTTTTTGAAATATGTAAATATAAATGAAGTAATAATTGAATAATATATGATTACCTCGACATTGGAATTGCTCGATGTAGGACTGATTGAGGAGAAAGAAATAGAAGAACAAAAGAAAAGAAAATTAATTAAGAATTTGAATTTTGAAAAAGGTTTAAGTTAAAATAATAGAGATGAAGTTGTTTTATACTTGGCAAGTTGAAGTGCGATATCGTTCTCTGTCTTCAAATTGTTTAGCGTTCCAAGTAAAAACTGCATAACAAATTGGTGACACATAAAATAATCATTAAATCAAAATAATACAGTTAAACATGCACACGAATTAGTCTCAAGATCTTTTTTTTCGGATGTGGTATCAATTCTTCTGTACACCCCTACTCGATCATCATAATAAGTTCTTGGTTTGTTTTCGTACGTCTCTAAGCTTTAAAAACATCCGTTTTTGTATGTCTCCGTGCTACTATGTTCCTCAGCTTTTCCCTTTGTTTTTCTTGTCTTCCAAATTTCAGAATATTCATTTCTATATATGTCAAACTCTTTTTATGTCTACGAAAATTTATGTTCCTCTTAAAGTTTTATGTTCCTCAACTATTTTAGGTCCTTTTACAGATGACAAAATCAAAGTTCAAATACTTTTTAAAATTTAAAAGCATATTAAATATATCATACGACAGACTATGTTGAAACCTACAACATACACAATATTTCTTAAGGAGTTAGAGATTCACAAAGTTCAAAAGAATTAAGTTTGAAAACATAAATACCTCTTTATTATGAACAACGCTGCTGCAGCCACACAAACAAAACAAAACAAAAATCAATTCAAACGCATTAATTTCTGGAGAAAATCTTGGAAGAACATAAATTAAAAAGAAAAGAAAATTAAGCCAAATACCCTCCTCTCTCGTGATCAGGCAAATTTATAAAACGAGCAAGCACATCTTCAATTCTACAGATCAAAAGAAGAGCATTGATTAAAGGGAATGCAATAATTTAATATGGTAATTTAAAAAAGAAAAAAAGAAAAAGGTAGCGGCGGCGAATTGAACCTGCGGCGGCCGGAGAAGTGGCTGAGGCGGCCGGAAGGGGAGAACATAATAAGAGCAATATCAATATCGCAGAGAATGGAGAGCTCGTAAGCCTTTTTGATGAGTCCATTTCTGCGTTTGGAGAAAGTGACCTGGCGATTGGTGTTGTTTTCGATCCTCTTAATCTGCAACTTAACTCGCCCCATCATTTAACCATTCGATTCAATTTTAATTTTAATTACAGCGGCGGCGGCCGGCCGGACGGACGGACGGAGAACAAGAGGGGAAAAAAGAACTGTGAGGGTTAAATTCAAGAACTACGCGACGGACCTTGAATAGTGGGACAGGTTGTTTTGGAACCAAAACGACTCACTCCTATTGCAAATTTTACTCCGTCTCTCTGCGCGATTTTAACCTCACAATTATTAACTGCATTGCTTTTTCCAGTTTCCATGGTTTCAATTCTTGACCACTTCATTTATTGTTTTTTCTCTCTTTTTTTTTTATTTTATTTAATTATATTTATTAATATAAATGGAGCTATAGGTCGTTATTGTGGTGCTAGAGGTCGAGGTATCTATTGGGGATCGGAGTAAATCAATTTAGTCCTTGAAAAATTTTATATCAAATATTTGGTTGGTTTTTAATTGTGATTTTATTCTTAACATGATTAAGTAAATAATGACACATTGTCATTTTATTTCTCAAATTATTTCTTGTTTTCTAAGTAACTTATTTCAAATGGAAAAAAAATATTAATTTTATCGATGAATTGGATGGGGTATATCAATTTTTACTCTAAGCTTTCAGTTTCATCAAAATTCACCTACAATCTTTAACAAACTTTAAAAAGTATGTCATTTTTACCGGTTTTCGTTTGAAAATTTAACTTGTTGAGAAAAGTATTGTCATATGTGTCAAATGAATTATAAGACATATTGTTATTGAATTAATAGGATTTAGACGAAAATGACATTAGAGCAAATTTTTTTTTAGAATTATTTAATGGTTTATTTTGTGCAAAAACTTAATTTTTATTAATTTAGTAAGTTTTTTACATTGTTTTTTGGTAAATATAATATATATTATATAAAAATTATATATATTGTGTGAAGTCGAAAAAATTAAATAGAAGGTAAAAATGACAATACCTATCTAAATCTAAGATTTAATTTGGTAAAATTGAAAGTTTGGAGTGGAATTGATACAATTTCTCTAAGTTCAAAGGTAAAAATGATTTTTTTTTTCTCTCTTTAAAATGCTCTCTCTTCTCAAATTAATGGTACAGGTAAATTTTTATGATTACTAGGTTTCCATATTAAATGTGATATTTCAATTCCCCAAGTACAAGTAATTATAAAATTGAAAAACAAAAACTAATTAAAATCATTTAAGAACGCACAGAAATTTAGTCAATAATTAAAAATATATATTAACACCTAATTTTTTCGAAGTTAAGGAATTATATTTATAACAACCACACTATATTGGCTTTTTAAAAGAATGGGAATCAGAATGCATTCAAAAAGATTTATACCAATTTCGTTAATTCTTTGTTTTTAACATGTGCATGAAACATGTTAAATCCTTTTCTAGTAGAAATTAGAGAGATTTTAAAAAAATAAACATTCTTATAGGTTAGATATCCAATATAACTAGTTAAATTTACCGTAATCTATCAATTTTAATGATGTTTAAGATGAGATCAAAACAGGAAATCTTGCACTAGAACTCGTGTATTGTCGGTTCCTCCCCATTTAATATTCATTTCCAATTGACCTTCTTAACCTTAATCATCTTTAAAATTATTATAAGTTTATGACTTTCTAGACAGTATTTTTGCCAACGCTTTTTAATTAACATCGGGATTAGTAAGCCACCTCCCGACGTTTTTTAAGGGATAGCTTGCCTTTCCCAAAGCTTTTTAAGAAACTTCTGGAGAAGTGGTACAATCCCGATGTTTTTTAAAAAAACGTCGGGACAATATATTTTTTTAAAATGTACTTTAAAGGAACATTTCTCCCAATACTATTTAAGAAACGTCGGGATTGTAACACCTCTCCCTATGTTGCTTAAAAAGCATGGGGCGAAATGTTACCATTCCGACCTTTTTTCAAAAAACGTCGGGTAATGTTTTTTATAATGTATTTTAAAGAAGCACTTCTCCCAATGCTTTTTAAAAAACGTCGGAAAAAAACTCGATGAAAAATCCCTAACCCTTTCTTTCCAGCATTATTCTTCTTCCTCTCATCCGCTCTCTCGATTTCTCTCAACGGCGTCGTATCTTCCCAACGATTTGTGTGGCGACGTGTGGCTCGACAATCTCCAACATCCTTTCCGATGGCACAGCGTGGTTCTTCTCCGGTGGAAGGTGTCGGTTCTTGCGGCAGTAGGCGGTGGTTGTCTCAGCGGCAAGCTGCAATTCTCACGGTGGCAGTTGTAGTCCAGTTGCAGCGGCAGCCGCGGTTTCCCTCTGGCGGTAATTTTATTTTTCTTTTTATTTTCCAAATATTTGAAAATTTGATTTACATTTATAGGAGTTGGAAATTTGATTCACTATATCCTAGACTTTCTTTTTCAATTTAATGGAGCTTGTCTATGCAAGAAACTTGGGCCTTCCGATCTCACGAAATTCACACTAATTATGAATAATGAAACGAGAACGGACGTCCTGCAAAATGCACTTAACACCGATGTAGTGCTACCCACACAAACTCTGATGTTTATCAGAAGTCTTTTGAATACTAGAGTTTTCAAGTAGTTATCTTTAAAGTTAAGCTTATTCTTCTATTTAGAAATGTCGAATCCTGATGCCTTCAAGTAACATACATTTATGGGCGGTGGCATCTTCTCGATAATTTTTTGTAAGATATGTATAACTTATTTTGGTGAAATATGGGAAAAGAATATGGGTAGAGTTGTCTTGAAAAGATCGTGCTTGGAAAATAGTAAAGGTATATGTGTGATTAACTCCTCTAGAAAGTTTGAGAGTAGGCTTATGAATGAGTTTAGAAATGCAACATACTCTTATGAAATTAATCCATCTCTTAACTTAGAAATTAATCCACAAGGAATTGTACTATTCTAAAATAGGTCCCCGAAAAAGACCATAACGTCGGGAAAAGTTTGCTATCCCAATGTTTCTAAAAGCGTCGGAAGTAAACTTTTTTCCAACCTTTTTTAAAACGTCGGGGTTTTTTCCAATATGTTAATGGAAAACGTCGGGAGTTTGCTCTCCTGATGGCCTTTACTCGACGATTTTCCGACTGAATTATCTTTGATATTTTCTTACTTTTTTCGAAATTTTCAAACGTTGGACAAACCTTTATTTCTTATAGAGAAAGTAACCATTGATTAACCATTGCTACTTTCTCTACATGTACAATTGGAACCATTGCTACTTTCTCTACATGTACAATTGTCTTTTATTTAACAACAATCCCAAAAAGAATTAATTTTAAAATTAAGATAATTATTCAATCATTCAAAGCATTTTTGTTGATAGTTATTGTAATAAATAAATAAAATAATAATTATAAAATAATTTTATAGTTTTAATGGTCATAATATAAGCAATTTAATATTGATATTTGATTAAAAATATTTAAACACTACTTAAGAAATTTGGAAGAATTTGTTTGAATTAATAAATCACAATTTTTATATTCTTGTCAATATGTGTAAAACAAAATAAATAATAGGAAAAAAAAAAGAAAATAATAATGACAAAAGTGGTCATGTAAAAATTAAAATAATGAAAGATAAACATCTAACGAGAAAAGTCTTCTTGGGAAAGAGAGATTTACATTGGGAAGGAGATGAGAAAAGTCTTCTTCACAACCTTTGGCATCGTTGGAGAATATTTCGGTTTAATTTTTTTATTTTTAAAAGTATTAATTTCATTATCCTAGAGCATAATCGAGGTAATTAAACAATCACATCTCAATATATTTTGTTGTCCATAGTTGAGATAAGCTTGTACTAAAAAAAATAAATAATAAAAATTTGAAGGTAATTAAGCTATAAACATTTATGGTACTTTGAGTCAGACATGTTAGGGTTAAAATTATACATCATAAAATTTCGCTTATCATCAGGATTTGAAATCACTGCTTTATATGCTTGGTATTGACCATAATTTATGAGAACATTATGTTGACTTAGTAAGAGGAGGAAGGGTTAAGGATTTACTCCATGTGAGATATCACATTAATCGAGGAACTCTAGATGATGGTCAGAGTAAAGGATCGTCAACAAGAGCATTCTAGTGGGTTGTAGATTTTTATGTCATCCAGATTTTGATACTTTTTCAATATGCAGACTAAATGTTAAGAGTAAAGAATGTAATGTAATTATATACAACGTTAAGATTTTTAAACCATATTATGAGATTGCACTTAATTCAACAACTAATGTACTCGACGATGTATAAACAGAGGTTGATGCTTTATTCTAGAAGTTATATAGTTTATTCTCCTAGTAACTCTATCATAATTGAATAAAGTTTGTGAAAATAGCAGAGTAATATATGCACTCTTGAATTAGAGAAGCTTCAATTAGAAAAAAATATTCCAAAATGATTATATTGTAGTTTATTTTAGGCCCAAAGTTCCTAAGACTATATTGTAGTTTATTTTAGCAAATGTATCGATGGGCCAAACCCGCCACTTAGAGACTATATAATCAGGCTTACAAAAAATTAAGAGAGAACATCAAATTGTAAACTAACTATTATTTATTTTTAATCTTTTTTAATACAACATGCGAGGATGAGGGATCGAACCCACGACCTCTTGGTTGAAAATATATGTTAATTACCACTAAGATATGCTCGCTTTTAACAAACTAACTATTATTTTTCAAGTTCATTTTAGATTAAATCTACGTTAGTTTCATATTATTTATATATATAGTCTCTAAACTTTCATATTTATTTATTTTTTGTCTCAAAAAATTTAGATATTTTTTCCCCAATTTTCAAAATATTATATTTTAAATATAAATTTTATCTAAAAATTGTTAGAGCAATTGCCTTTAATTTTATTAATAGTTTAACTTAAATCCAAATTATTTGTTCTAAAACCTGACAGATATTACTAGATATGGTTATTTATTTACGTAGACACTCATCAAATAAATGAACAAAAACATGTGTCTATATTAATTTTAATTTTAGTTAGATAATTAAATTAAACAAAAATTAAAATAGATTTTTATACCATGTTCAAATATTAGTAAATTTATCAACTTTATAAGATAATTATAAAAAATTGAAAAGAATTTAAACAAAATAAATAAATCTAATTTTAATAAGATACAATATGCACCTTTACGCTGCTTGAAGATAGGATGAAATATCATAAAAGGCAAAAAGGGAGAAAAAGAGTTTAAAAAAGCCAAAAGAGGCAAAAGCTGATTCTGTTCTGTCCTACCAAATTTGAAAGACAAGAAAGTATGCTTTATCTCTCTTTTGGTTTAAAGAGACTAGTGAAAAAAAAAAACAAAGGGAGTCGTTTCTGTTCAAGATTTATTCTTCTAAATTTATTAGACAAGGTTGGACGTGATTTATTGACTGTCACGTATCAACATCCAAGATCATCGACGGTGAGGATGATAAGGAGAATCGGATAAGAAGATTCAACAAAAACAAGTTTAATCAGCTCGATACTCGAAGTCATGCCAACCAACGTTCTATTAGCTACCAGAGACTTATACTAGGTAGGAGCCGAACTTAAAGAGTATCACAAGCGCACAGATGACAGACATGTTCTCTGACACGATAGCTCGATCCTAGATTGTCGTAAGTCCTATCGGGAGCTTACCTCTATAAATATAAAACCTCGCATCTCATGCAAGATACGCGAAGCTATATTATCTCTCAAGTGTAGATCGGATTATGTACTAACTAGAGCATGAAAGTGCTAACTCTGTTTTGCATGTCCTTCGTACATCGGTTATTAAGTCAGAGCTTCACGATCCGAGCTTGATCAACTTTAATTTACGCTATTATATTTACAGTTCGGAGAACTTTTTCTTTAATGAGTTGAACATGTGGGGTAAAGATTTGAACGTATAACTTTTTTATTGATATTAACTTTATTGTTGATATATACTTTGACCAGTTGAGGTTGTCAAATTTTCAAGGCTTATTAGACACATATTCAATATCGAATTAATCTTAAACGCCTAACTTACAAATAATCCAAAAGAATGACTTTGACATATAAATAACTCTTTTATTTTGAACAGAGTTATTAAAATCAAATTAAGTGAATATCTTACTCTGTCGAGATCAAACAAATTTATATAATTAAACATCTTCGATTGTGCACAAAAGAACATAGATTAATTGATACAATGGTAAATATAAATACAAACCTTCGGTGGATAACGAAAACCGACAAGCAAAAGTCTAACAAAGAGACTTTGTGAAAATCGAAGAGAGTGATGTTCTTAGTCTCAAGCAAAGTTTTGAGTTTAAAATATTTGTTTAGTACAACATGTAGGAGTGTGGATCGAAATCACAACTTATTGGTTAAAGATATATGTTAATTATCGCTGAGTTTGACACGTTTGTGCAAGTTTAAAAATTAAGATAGAAATTTTGAATTTATTAAATTGATTCAAATATGGCAAGTTAACCAAAACTGAAAATGAGATATTCATATTTAACGTAATTCATAGATGGGCTTAACTTCAGACAAATTTAATGAGTCTAATTAAAAAGATAATATAAAATTATATTGATTTTTAATTTCATTTTGAATTTAAATCTCCCCGTCTTTTAAACTTTCAAATTCATTATAAGAATAAAAAAATCATTATGCCAAATTCAAAAATTGATAAATATAACTACTAAAATAAAATAAAGATAAAAATTCAGAAAATAGAATAAACGAATCTTCTTTTTAATAAGATACCATGCACAGCTTTACGCTGCCTTAGGATCTTAGAAATTTTAAGAAAATGCGAAAAGGGAAAAAGAAAAAGTTTTAAAAGCAAAAAGAGAGAAAAAAAAAAAAAGAGAAAGGCAAAGGTTGATTTTGCATCACAAACTAGGTGAGAGACAAGAAAGCTATGCTTTTACTTTTTTTTTTTCCCTCTCTTTACCATACTCGTTTTTTCCTTTTTAGAAGCCATTTGAATTTTAAATTCTATAAATAATTAGAGTTAGAGTATTTTAAAAATTTTATGTTTCGTATTAATGATCTGCATATTCTTAAATTAATTTCTACCTACGTTTTCATACATTTATTTGTTGAATTGCAGAAACGAAGCGAGGAAGTAGCGAGACAAATTTGTATTACTCTCATTTAAAATTTTCGAGGTTTTTCTCATGATTTTAGTAGGCTTAGAGTTTATGAAATTTGGAGTTAGAAAAATTCAAATGTATATATTTTGCCTTTTAGATTTTACAAGAGAACAAGTTACAAAAATTTGGAGTTTAGATTTTTTAGTTTATATATTTTATAAAGAGTGAAGTATTTGCACTCTTGAGATTATATAAATAAGGTAAGGGATAAATAAACTTATGTATAAAAAATAGATTTGACTTCTTAATTCTAATTTTAACCTATTCAAATTTAATATAGGAATTGGTGTGTGCCTATAGCTCAATTAGTCCAAATATTAGTAACATTCTCTCCAAAAGTGTCCTCGATTAGCTAAATACGTCATTTCATACACCCCACTTCTCTTCGTTTGATATATGAAACTAAGTTATAAACGAAATTGAAATAGTCTCAACCATTGAAACTAAACAAACAAAAAAAAGTTCTATTTCTCTAAACAAAACCATGATAGAATTCTTTTATTTATTCTCTCACAGAACCATTTTACAAAATCAGAATAGATTTTAGAACTTATTAGAAAAATAAAGAAGTTCTAAAACTTCCTATAAACATAGAGTAGAAAATATTTCTCCAAAAAAGACGTGATTATTAACCAAAGTCAACAGCTTTCCATATTAGTAAGTATAGCACGTTGACTTTCGCTAAACCAACGTTTTTTAAAGAGACATTTTCCATCTCTTTCATATACGTTTAAAAAACATCCAAAACTCTTCTAACAAGTTCCAACACTTCCGAAAAAGCCCACAACGGGAGAAGATACACATAAATAAACAAGTTCGAAAACCGAAAAACACAACAACCTCGTCGTGGTTTGCTACATGACGTAACATGCATTAGGGTTCTCGTCACTAAACATGGTGACAAAAGAAGGATCTTCAAACTTGACAACAGTGGCATTGTTGTGTTCTACATTCCTCACATAGCCAGGAGGGGCTTTCTTGTCATAAGCTGGGGCAACATAGGGATGTGCCACTAAATTGTAGGGCACATATGGCCAAAGTTCTGCCTTTTTTCCTGTGGATTTTGCCCTCTTCAATACTTTGCTTGCTTCTACATACCCTGTTACTGTCACCTTCAGTTGCTTTCTATATATCTTTACACTTTTCACCCCTACAAAACCAACCAAATTTTCTCTCTCAATTATCATTTTTCCTCTTTTTCATTGATGTAAAATTTTGTTTTCAGGAACAAAAAAATAAAGGTTATTTTCAAGTTGGTTGTAGAACAATAATGCATGGTACACTTAAAAACAAATATCGAAACTCTAAATTTGGCAAGTTATATCAATTTTAATTTTCAGTTTTATGGAATTATATCGTGAATAACTCCGTCAAAACTTACAAATTTGAAGAACAAAAGAAAGCTATTTTAATTTCTTTTTTTTTTCTTGACTTCAGGATGCAGAGGGCTCGAACCTGGATACGCCAACACCCGAAAGTGCAGCTACTTTAGTGTCTTCTTTGTCTAAATTCTATCAATTTTATATTAAATATATGTTATTATGATACATATAAGAATCAACAACTTATCATACGGTAAATATTGCAACATTTTTTAAAGTTTAGGCTGAAGATAGCAACATTTATCAAAATTTAAAATGCAATTCGATGAACTAGAGAGTTTAGAATAAAAATTGACACACTAAGTTAAAATTGAAAATTGATCTTTCCTCTCCAAAGATAATTACAAATACAGCATAAAAATTATATTAAAGAAAAACACTTCAATGAGTGAAACCTAAGTTTTGATTTATACACTTATAGTCGATTATGATCAATTGTGTATTTCATAAAATAAAAAATATTTTATAAAAAAATCAAGCTATATCCGCTCAATTTTTCATCATTTCAAACTTTTTGGTTTGTTTGAATGCCATTTTTTAGACTTAAAATGTTTTTTAAAGAATTATTTTATACTTTTTAATTAAAATAAACTGGTTAATATAAAAGATATCTCACTTATCTAATGCAATAGAATTGGTTTCCTTTCCTCTGTTTCGTTTTTGTTTTTTAATTAAAATTTTATTGATGTGCTTTACATCCCTTTAAATGTAAATGCTATTTTTATAAAATTACTCTTTTATATTATACCATTTAGAGAAAATGTAGTTTTCTAATTCACGAGAATGGTGAGTATTTTAATTTCTACGTTATAGTCTTTTTAGTGCGTGTAAGATGCGAACTCATAACTTCGCAACAACATAGGTTAATTATTGCTGAGTTAAGTTCGTGTTTTTTATTTAATTTTTTTTACGCAAAATTAAAAATGATAGCAATTTAGAAATTAGAAGAAAGAAAGAAAAAAAAGTGTGGGGAAAATGCTTTCTTGAAAGAAGAGGAAGGAATGAACAAGGAAGGCAATGGCGAATAGCGAATAGTGAGTAGCAAACCTCGTAAGGAAGAGAGGGCATTCTTGACCTTGAGTTCGCAGCCATCGCAATCCATGGCGACCTTCAGCTCCACGGTCTGCAATTGCTGTTTCTTGTACTGCTTAGGGCTAATGCACATCAAATAATGCTCCGATACAGACTCCACCGAACCCCCCGCGCCCATTATGTGTTCGACGAAATGCCTCGCCCACAGAAACTTGGACAGACACACACAACTTTGCTCGATTGAATTTATACTATGGAGAAAGAGGCAGAGTGGTAGAAGAAGAAGAAGAAACAGGGGATACAGAACTATGAAGATTGTGTAAATTGGCCTTGTTAAAAGCCCTCTTCCGTCAGCTTCTGAGGTAATTTAACTATTATTTAATTCTCCTGAGCGAGTAGGTTGTGCAATTTGTCCTTATTTCGATTAGTTCTTTTCTTTTTAAATACAAAGTACTTTACTTTTAATTTTTTGATAATAGACCTAAAATGATCGGCTAACGAGCGAAGGAGTCCGTACAAAAAGGGTAAAAAATTCCGACGCTCAAATCAATCTTATATGATCTATTACTCAAGAGAGAATAGTTTGTGTACCTAGAAAAATGAGCCAGTTATCTCTATTTACAGAGGTGAACTTCTCATCTACATGCAAATTCAAATTTCTAACGATTCTCGAGACTGTTGGAGAGCCATTGAGGTGCTGTCGTGAGCTCACCTCTATAAATAGATATCCTCGCCTCATTTACCAGGTGCGAAGTACTAACTTGAGCATCATAGTTGTTTCTCTCTTTTGCAGGTTCCTTTGTTCATCTACGAGCTCTGCTGCAGACTTGATCATTTTTTTCATCAAACAGACTTTATTCGACTCGATACACAATACTTATGTAGAGTTAAATGTGTACATCAATAGGCAAATATTTCACCAAAAAGTAAGAAAGATTTACATGTTGGTACTCCATCATTCAAATTTATTGATACTATTGATTAAAGATTGAATTGAAATGTCATGTGCATCTTTTTATTTTTTATTTTTTTTTTAAATAAGAAGTATTGTATATCTTGGAGCGTGTCTAAACTATTTAGTATGTAATAGTAAAATTATTCTATCAAAAAGGCGACATTTTTATTGAGGCAGCACATTGAAAATATGAACATAGATCGTTAGCAACAAGTCAAAATTATTTTGCTAGAAACTTTTTGTTTCTTTCGTAAAACATTTTCATGATTCATTTAATATTTGGAATCTAATTCTTCTACTTTAAGAGCATGAAAATATGTCCCCCATAATCTATTGAAAACTTTGATTGTTTTGGTGATAGTTTGTGAATTCGATTTTGCTTATGGGTTTAACCTTATTTTAATGCCTAAAACTTTTAAACATAAATATATCTATATCATTGGCCCCTACACATTTAAAATATTTAATATTTATTTTTCAATCCCTAAATTTCCAAGAAATCATTATTTTTTATTTCACTCAATTTACGTGGCTTCAAAAAATTTCCACATCAACATAACAGTACACATATTCAAAGCTACATTGATTATTTGCTGAGAGAATAATATTAATAAGAACAAAAATCATTATTCTACAAAGCTCAAAAACTAAAATAGATAGTTTAAAAGTTTAAAGATCAAAATCGAAAAATTTCGAAAGTTCGAGAGCTGAAATGAGATTGAAATTGCTTTAGTTTACAAAAATATTTATAGAGTAAAGATATTCTTCAATAGCTCCCACGTGAGAATTTATAATCTCAAGAAATTAGAAAGTAGGAAGGGAAAAAGAACACTTGTTATGTTAAACCATCCAACAAACTAGGAAAATCAATTTAGTAAAGATCTTCAATTCACAAGATATCTGTAAATATAATAAATAATCAGGCCATAGATAATAATTTCTGTAAAAACAAAGGCCATGAGAGTGAAGAAGTGGAGTGATGGTTGCAGTTCATGGGAGCTTCCGAAGGAGCAAAAACATGTTCTGATCTACCCTGAATTTGGCACAGTGGACAGGATCGCCCTTCAACATCATTTGGAGTCCTCCAAAAGATGCATAAACCTCTCTGAAAACAGAACCATTCCAACCAAACATCGTTAAAATATATACATTATTAATCGAGTTGAAAATACGCTACATTTCGATTTTTAGAAATAAGCATATCTTTATATGATGATCTGATTTGTAGTAACTTATCTGACCCAAATTGGTTGGTTTAAAACTATCATTTTCAAATTTACTCATAACCCCCTTCTTTTAACGTTTGGCATCAAAGATAAGAGGCAAAATTGAAAACGGCGGATACGGGACTAAATTGTAGATTTAGGGATTAGCAGATCAAAATTGTTGAGCAAAATCATGGCAATGCTAGTTCACTTACACTTTCAAGTCTGATCCTGAGCCTTCTTCTGAAAGTTTGTATAGTTTCCCATGCATCACATACTCAAACTTATCTGCTAATGATTTCTTCCCTTCCTGCAAAAAATAATTATTTGAAAGATATTACTTCAATCTCAATGAGATTACAATTATGTACACAATCTTGACAGAGTACAACAGGCTTGTGAAAGCGGTTCTCGTCAAAAACACGTCCTCTTTTTTATCCATTTATTGTCATGGTACCTCCCAAATCCCATACTAAGAAGAAGAAAAACATGTATTTTTCTTAATAAATTAACTTCCACCAGAACAAATGAAGGAACATAAAGAGCGTATTACAAAAAAGAGCAGTCCAAAAAAAAGTAGCAAACAGTTTGCAACTCCATTATGGCTCTTGGTTCTTCCCTTGTCTTGTTCATTTCATTCCTCAATAAAATTCTAGTTTCTTCTCAAAAAAAAAAAAAAGGTAAAGAGAAAGGAAACTATAAGAGATTGTTCCAATCATTAAGAACACTTCAGAAAGGGCACCTAGTGAGTGGCATTGAAATGCATCGCATTCAAAACTTCCACCTAGGACTTCTATATATCTCTAAAAACTCTTCAATTTCTTCTGAGCCATAAATTCCATGAGATAGCAAAGAAACCCGCGTGCCAAATACCTGATCCCTTTTTTCAGGAGAGGGGGATTATTAACAAGCACCTCCTCCAACACATTGAGCCTAGAAAGACACTGAAAGACTTGAAATAAGTGCCTATCCCCTTTTTCTTTTTTATTTTCTAGGGACATGACTATCCAGCCTGAACTGAAGAACATGCTCGACTTGCACATTGTGACCCTATTTTCTAGTTTCTTGAGGCCGCTGGGCAAAATCCTCTTCTAGATTTTCAGACTTTCAGTTTCAGAGAAAGTTTATGGAATTACCTTTCTAACATTTCTATGAATATAGATTCAGATATGGCCAGGAAATTTAATTTCTATATGTTGTTTTCTTAAATATTAAGGGGGAAAATATTACCTGACTACTATGACTGGCAACAGGAGCTCCATCATAATTTAGTGTGGGAGATAAGACCATCAGAATCTTCTCACCTTCATCAATTGGATATATCTCTGTATTTACATCCAGAAGCATATGCATGGCAAGTTTCTCACTCCTTGCGTCAATTCTAGAAACTAAAAGGAACAAATTTATGCAGTCAATCGCCACTCATCTAGAATCGTTCACAGCCAGTCAAGACAGCGCATAAATTGAGAGTTTCAAAAACCAGAAAATTAAAGTACCTTTATCATACTTTTGCCCATCTGGGTTGACACACTTGACCTTGAAAATATCATCAAATAGAAGCTCCACCATGTTTGTGGATAATTTGCTCCTCAAAATGCAGAATTACACCGATAGAAAAGCAACAAAAAAATATATCAAATATGGAGAGTGTTGAGATTCTATGTAATTATAAAATATGGATAATTTGCCCAGCCCACTCCGGCGGCGGCGGCTTCCGATGGCGACGGCGTGCAGCTTCTAGAGGCGTCCGGCGGCTTCTGGTGGCGGACGGCGAGCAGCGGCGTCAGACGACTGGAAAAATCCGGAATCTCTCTCTCAAGGTGGGTGGCTCTCCAATTTCTAATTAGGGTTTTTCTCAACACAAAATATTCAAAATTATGTGTAGGGTTTTGGGATGGAGAAGAGAGAAGAAGAGTTGTCTTCTATTGGGCCATAAAACATAATACAAAAGAAATTGGCCCAACATGAATCATAGGGAAGCAAACTAATTATAAAAAAAAAGGCTTAATTTTTTTTTAAAAAAGGCTTAATAAAACAATAACTAATGAGAAAATGATTAAACCAATAATATAACAACAATCTTCACATTGATTTCAAAAAAAAGAAAAAAAGAAAAAAAAAACCAATCTTCACAATTTCAAGATATTATTTCTAAGATATTCTTGTTACTAATAGTTTCGAAAGTCGACGGCTCTGGGCAACGAGTAGGATGGAGCCGTCGACTTGAGCATTGTACAAGTGCTTAAGGCTCCTTGGGGCCGTGGCCACAACTATTTATTATAGTTGGCAAGGCTTGGAAGCAAGCTACCAGCGCCTATCGGCGAGAACTAGGCTTGGCTTGGTTAGTAGTGTCCGCTCCCTTATCCTGGAGGCTMGCCGGCTCATGCCGAATCCGAGTTTGCCGCTCCAACCATTACCAAACTAATACCTATTCTGTTTAGTACTTCAGGTGCTTCTGTTGCGTATAATGTAAATCCCGTAGCGGATCAATTCCAACGAGCCTTTCAAACTAGTACTTTTTGTAATCGACTCTATAGCTTCTTCAATAAACGCTGGTTCTTCGATCAAGTTTTGAATGACTTTCTAGTCAGATCGTTCCTGCGTTTCGGATATGAAGTCTCATTCGAAGCTTTAGACAAAGGTGGCTGCAACATTATTTGAGATCCAAACATAAATATAAATATTTTTTTTTGTTTAACAACATGTATAATAGAAATTCGAATTTTCGATATTATATGAATAAAGTACCCCTTAATTATCTAATCATTATAATTGATATGATTGGAAAGATGTCAATCTAGTTACATGCCAGCTTTGATATGATCAATTTAGTTTGAGCTCATTTCAATTTCTCAAAATCAATTAAATTAATTTTTTTTAGGAAATCAATGAAATCAAATTGAAACTTGTTCAAAGTTACTTTTAGACTATCTGTTATTTTTACCAATATGAGCTAAGTGATAACTTGGCATCTATCTATAATTAAAGTAACATGGGTTCGAAACTCCTAAGATGTATTAAAAAAATCGTTATTTTTAATTTTTTTCAAAATTTTTTTATGAATTTTTTATTAAATTCCAAAATTGTATTAATTTGCCGACCAAAACCAAAACCAAAATATCGCATTCGAACGACACTTCCCCGTCCTCGGGTACTAGTTCCGCCGCCTGGAGACGGCGCTACTAAATCATCGTTCCTCGAAGCCGCGAAATATCCGACTAGAATCGCACAAAAAAGGAACCCAGTAGCGAAGTCTGTAAAACCCGAACTCTACTTTATCAATCCGCCTCACAATGAGCCACAACAAGCCAAGACGGTTCAAAAATCATCATCCCCGCCGCGGACAATCCACCCGAGGCCATAAATTTATCGGGTAATTACATTTACAGTTACCCTTTTCTTCTAATCATCCCTTTCTCAGATTGCTCATTTGTTTTAGTTTTCTTTTTCTCTCTCAGAGAGGACGATTGTTTGCCGATCGACCCAGGTGCCTACCTTGACTGACTGAAGTCTTCTTCTATATCTGTTATTTATTTTGTGGTATAAGAAGCTATTACGGTAGAGGGGTTTTTAATTTAGGTTCTTAATGAGTTCTTTCTTTCTCAGCTAATGAAGAGGAGCCAGCGGGTCCAAAAATTCAGCTTGCCATGTGGGTATGTGTAATTGATTCTATTTTTTTAGACCCTTTTGCTAATTCTTGTTATTAGGAAGGAAACTTGAGCTTGAAAAGTTGTACTCAACCTAAAATTGATAGTTTTTCTTATCGTTGATATAGGATTTTGGGCAGTGTGATGCAAAAAGATGTACCGGACGCAAGCTTGCACGATTTGGCTTGCTAAAAGAAAGTACCTATTCTCTCATTTTATTTTCTTCTCATATTTTTATATATGTTGCTCCTTTTGCAAATTAACTGGTCCATGTAGGGATGTCACTGAAGAATTAGTTAGTTTTATATGTTCTATCCACTCTCCCCTTCATTAATGATCATACAAAATGTCTTGCTGGATGCATTGACTTTGTTCTATGTGGCCGGGGGAATTCTGAAGATACGTTTCAATGTGATGATTGGTAATAGGAATATGGTGATTTGGGAATGGGAATGGAAGTCGAGTAAAATAAGTTGTATTGTGTTTGCTTGCTAAAGGAAGTATAATGTTAGATGGCTCTATTTCGTTAGCTGGGAGCTCCAATTATAATTTCTAAATTTGGTCTTACAATGCTTCATAAAAATACAAGAAGCAATCTAAAGCTCTTTTAAGCGAGAATCCTTGAAACTCTTATTAACATAGTTTCTGATTGTAAACCAACAAACCAGGTTTAAATCACAAAAATTGGGAAATCAGGGACCAAATAGAAATAGTGAAAATTAAGGAACGAAAAGTTCAATTTTCTTTACTTATTTTTAAGTTGCCTGATCAAATGAGGACGGATGGTTTAAATTTTATATGAATTATCTGGTTCATGCTCATTTGAGATTTTTTATTAAAGCACTCATTTTCCATACAATACAATTAATTTAGTTCTTTCAACATATAAAAGTATTCAATTCTTCTAACTTTCATTGAGCTCATGCAGGATTTGCGTGTTAGCAGTGGTTTTGGAGGCATTGTATTAAGGTATGAAAGCAATTATGTTTCCTAGTATTGTTGTAAGTAAACATTAATTGATGGTAGTTCTATCACAAGAAATTTGTCAACTCATCTTATTTCATCTCTAGTTTTAGGTTTACATAAATAACTTTCCAGAAGTATCAAAGGAATTTTAAACTTGTTTGCTGACCTAATGGAGGGAGGTACTATCAATATTGTTGGGTGTCCCAAATCACCTTTGACACTTTGTGTTTTTATAGAAATCTGTTTGTTTTCAACTATTTTTTGGGCTGGACTTCTGTGAGGATCTACTTGTGTCTATCCAGCGATTTACCGCCAATCCTTCTAAAATTGTTGCATTGGGATAATGGGCGGTTCCAAGGAATGTGAAGGAGTTGAGAGGTTTCCTTAATTTGACTGGGTATTAAGGAAAATTTGTTGCCAATTACGGTGCAGTTGTTCTCCCTCTTGTCTAACAACTCAAGAAAGATGTATTCACAGGAAGACGGCTGCCACAATTGTTTTTGCCTTTTTGGACAATCCAAAGTTGCAATGTCATCCTTTCCTATGTATTTGGGAGGACATTTAAAACAAAAATGAAGAAACCAACTTCCATTGAGATGCGGCATGGGTCCCACTGATAACCGAGTCATGTAACTAATTGATGGGTGGGAAAGATGAATGGTGAGCTAAGTCTGTAATATTTAGTAAATATAGATTACACGTAGCATAAGAGGTACTTTTTGGGTTACGAATCTTGTGTTTGTGAGGGAAGGAGAGCTCTCGAGTCATCCCCAATCAATGTATCTCTCTATTGTTGTTAACCGATAGAGAATCTATCATATTTCTAATTATCCTTTTATTATGAGTCTATGACCCACCTTCACAATGTTATTATGGCTTGATGAGAAAAGATGAATTGTATTGATTTAAATTCTCACAGAAAGTCTTATGAACTTTTTGTTGGTCCCTATCTTTATCCTCTTCAACCTGAAAATTTTGGCAGTCCAGTGGGAGTGAATTGTGTCTCGAAAGAAGATCAAAGCCTTCTTAAACAAAAAGGATTAGCGGTTGTGGATTGCTCATGGGCACGCCTTGGTGATGTTCCATTTGTGAAGTTGCGCTGCTCTGCTCCTCGCCTATGTAAGATATTTGATTCTTTAATACGGAAATCTCATATTGTTTTTAACATTGCTGTTTTATGAATTTTAATACTTTAATAAACTGCAATCGACATTTCACTCTGGCTAGATTCAATCTGGTTTACAATGACTATTAATTTAATTATATCATGGTTAATTCTCTTGGTTCTGTTTTTCAACTTCGGCAAATTTTTTGGTGAAATGTTTGTAGTACCTTGGCTAGTAGCGGCAAACCCAGTAAATTATGGTCGACCGTGTGAGTTATCTTGTGTGGAAGCGTTAGCAGCTGCTCTAATCATATGGTAACCACATCCTCCATCTCTTCCCTTCCCATGTGTACCAGTTAGTTTCTCACTGATTCTGCTGAGGTTTATGCGAATTACTAATCTCATTTCATTGTATATTCCTTTGTCATATATTTGGTGTAATTAATTGGTTTACATTTGATAATTGAGAAAAAAAAAGTGAATCTCTGGTTCTCTTGGTGGTATCTTTTAGTGGGATCTTGAACTTCCGATGTGTTTTATTATGGAAGGAAGTAGTCAACTACCACGAGTTGGTTGAGTAGTCACTTGAGCTAGTGAAAAATTTAAGGATTCAGAGGAAATGAATTCAAACCATGGCACAAAAGAAGCAGTAGTTGTTTAGTTTGTTAAAATGACATTTTTATATTTTGAGCAAGGTTGTCGAGTTAGTTAAAAGGCAAGTCAGCAAGCTCGTTAGGGATCGTAGTTGCAATTGTAAATAAATAGAGGTCGGTGGGATAGAATGGTTGGAAATTAGTCGGGACTTTCGCCCCCAAGGGGCAGCCCGGTTGCCAGGGATTTGGAGTCTCTTGGTCATACTAACTTAGAGGTCTCAATTTTGAACTTTACAGTGAGCCTAATACCAAAAACTCTTGATGCCTCCCGGGTCCGAGTCTTGGGACAGGCACAGGTGTCCTTGGGTTTAGGGGAGCAAAGCTCCGACTCCTATTTATCAAAAAAGAGAAATATATATATATATATATATATATATATATTAGTCAGGACTTTCGTGAGTTCTCAGGTCCTTGAAATCCTGTAATCTTTCCAGGCAGTAATTCTTCTTTAGCAATTTTTTACTTTTAGAGATTGTAAGTAGAATAGAGTAATGCTCAGTCATTCTTCTTTATCACTTTTTATAGCTGGAAATGGTGATTGTTTGTTGGAGCAAGCATTCTATCCATTTTGTTTAACCATTTTCTATTGACCTGAACTAACAGTGGGGAACAGGAAACAGCAGACCTGTTGCTTAGCAAGTTCAAGTGGGGCCATGCTTTTCTTTCCGTTAATAGGTACATTTTATTTACTTTATAACACTATAGCTAAACATATAATTTAGTCCGACTCGTTTTTCGATTTTGTTCCTAATCTTTCGAAAGTTTAGTGCTACAGAACGTCATCAAATATATTTTATTAGTTGGGTTTGAAATACTTTTAGTTTTAATTTGATAAGACAGGCCAATTTATCCATAGAATTGGAAATCCACTAGCATCATACAAGATAGCCTCGATACAGGCAAAGTCGAAGAAGAACAAGAAGAATTTAAATTCACACCATCATTTTGCGTTAAAAACGAAATTGAAACTGATTAGGGACAAAATTGAGAGATGCCATATAGACCCTCAGATTTAAAGTTTTGAGGCGGACTGAATCATTGAAGTCGTAAAAGGAGTTGAAGGCTTGAAAATTGGTATTATCTGAGCTTTATCCATGTGAATGCTTGCTAAGTTTCTGGTGTTTATGTGACACAGAGAGCTTCTAAAAAAGTACTCGGCGTGTGAGAATAGTGCCGATATTATTTCGGTCCAGAATGCTTGGCTATCACAACAAAGCCAGGTCCCCAAACAACTGCATAATGTACAAGGTATTCTTTTGAACTAACTGCATCACTTTCTTGTTTGTTTTGCTTGCACCTTATTTGAATAATTCTGGACGCTCTCGACCACAACTTACAAAACCAACTATTAAATTGAATTGAAATCGAACCGAGCGAACTGAGACCATAAATATCTATTTAACTAATTGATAAGGATATTTCTTTCACTTTTAACTTGAAAGAACGGCGATTCAGATGTTGCAGGTGCAGAAGAGCCATCTGTGAGCCGAGACGACGAGGGCTCCGATGACTCTGACGATGGACTTCCGCCATTGGAGAAGAATCTGAACCACTTGATCTTGCAAGAAGACAGTGACGAAGAAAGCGAGTAATAATGTTATAATGTCAAGGCAAAGCATAGATCAAACACTTCTCAACAAAGTTTTAAGGTTTTTTTTCCCCCCCCATTATTTTCTATTTTGCTTTGCTTAGTAGTTAACATATTAATCCAGTTGGAGTGTAGGGTATGATGCATAGTTGTAAGAAAATTTGCTACTGCCCCCTGATCTTTTTTTTCCTTGTATTTATTTACTTATTTGTTTTTCGATATGCTTGAGTGTTCGGATCTGCTTGTGTCCAACTAGGAGACAATCGCCTCACAAAGCCTTTTTAGAAAAAATTGAACTGATACAACTATCTATCGAAATCAAACTAACCCACTTTTGTTTTTCGTTTTTTGTTTTTTACTTTTGAAGCTACATTTTTTTTTTCTTTTAGGTATGATTTTTAAATATATGGAGATACAATTGTTTAAAATAAGTTTATGAATGGATAAATAGTAAAATATGATCTCAATGAAGAGAAATTGACCAAAACAATTTTGTAATTTGGAAGTTGGAACTTAATTTGTTTCAATTTTTAATTAAATAAATGTACTTTGATATCATATAAATGAGGGAGTAATGTTATAAATTATAAACTTTGTGTGTGGGTTCTCAAAAGAAAAATGAAAATTGTGCATACCTACAATTTTACCAAACTATTCTCGTTACTTGATTAAAACGTTGATTTAATTCTTTATAAATTGCAAATTAATCTAGGTAGTTGATGTGGCATTTACGTAAGTGTTCCTAATTTATCAGTGTCACTAATTGATTATTATTTTTGTTTAGTTTAATAGTTGCAGTGTCACTAATTGATTACTATTTTTGTTTAGTTTAATAGTTGCGGGATGGAGATCAAATCGACAGTAATAGTAATAGGTACCTTATCAGTTGGACTATGTTTGAACGGGTGATTGACTATTTTTATCAAATTATATTTACAATTATGTTATTAAAAAAGTTTTTGTTTATTATTAAAAATTTATACTAATTATGACTTTTTTATTTGAGATCGGTATATTTTAGCCGATGATGAACTTTTAAAATATTTCTTTTAGTCAATAGACTTAAAAAAACAACTATTTTGATGATTGTTACTATTTTGGAACTTTAGTTTATTAATATTAAAAAACAATAATAACGTACAAACTTGAAGTTGTGCTATATAATTATTAAAAGAGAACAAATACAATAACTAATAAAGTAATTTTAGAATATAAGACATAATATATATGTTAATTGAGGACCAAAATAAAACAAATTTAAACTTATACAATTAAGCTTTGCCTTTTGTTTAAAAAACGCTATATCTTTCAAACATTTTAGTACTACCATTGACCTTTCATGAGCGTTTAAAAAATATCATTTGAGTAAATATCCGTTGATCTGAAACGACGTAGCAATTACTTTGGAAGCTTGCTTGTATCAAGTATGAAAAAAAATGTAAAAAAGCTATTGTTTTTAAAAGAGAATTAGGGTAAATTTGAGCCTAAAGCAAATTCTATTGAATAGAAGAACAAAATTTTTAGGTCAAAATTGGATAGATGGGTAAGCTTCAGGCTAATTCCACGTCGTTTTATCAAAATATTAACTCTTTTCAAAAGGTAATTTAGAAACATTAATAAATAATGAAAGGTAGTATTGAAACTTTTTAAAATCATACGAATGTTTTTTAAATAGACAGGGGAAGTTTTTAGAGTATTTTTTTTATTATTCAGCAGCAGAAAAAAAGAAAAAAAAAAGGAAAAAGGAAAAAAGAAAACTAAATTTACCGAATTGGTGAAGGCAAAGGCGTTACAGAGTTGAAGGGGTAGTTTGGACATTTGGCCGTCAAAATATTGGATTTTAATCGGACAAGTCCCTCCCATCCTTTCGACATCAAGTTCACATCGAGGAAGCAAAAAACCCTAGAAAGCCCCCTTCCCTCTGTTTCTACTTCTACACGCCAAGCCAAGATTCAAAGCACATAAATTTGTATTTGTGTTAAAAAACCAACACATTTCTTTTATCTTTTTCAAATTTCCTTTTTTCTTCTTCTCGTCTTCGTTTATTTTCAGGTTACAGCGACGAGTTGAGAGAAGCACTGGTTTCGGGGGACCTATTTTGTTCATTT